GCTATTAATTTCGCACAGAAAAAGTAATTATTTGACCTAATGTGCATGGCTCAAATTAAAGATCTTGAATAGCACTACAGCGTGCTTGTTATTAGAGTGATATAAAGTTGTGAGTAGGGGTGTTACGATACTACTGATATAATCTTGATATCGATACTGGGTAAATCGGTATCCGATACTAGGGTGACGACACTATTGATACCCACATGTATATTTTCTTTCGATACCGCTTTATGTATCATATTTAATAACGTCAATATCAATATCACTTCAAAGCCATATTCCTTATAGAACAATATTTAACTATATTTCCTGATTAGTGACTACGTTATCATTCGCGCGATATTTTGTTTCCTATGCCCATTTGATACTAGTATCGATACTTTTATGGGATCGTAATATATTCAAACGGTATTAGCACAGTATACAGCGTTCTGACATTGATTTCTTTTAATTTCTGTTTTTGTTTTTCGCCGAAAAGTAAAGTAGGGAATCACATTACCAAGATTGACAACATCTTGGTTAAGCTCAACGTGTTTGAAAAATCTGAAATTTTGGGGCACACAACAAACTTAAATAAACATTTATCTACTGATGATACATTATATTTATTCATTCCATTAAGTTCGTTTCCTGATTCCTGACATAACGTCATAGTTTTCGCGCTTAGCTCTTTTCGTATTCTGATGAAAGCGAGCCATTTTTTATATTTTGTTTATTGCCCACTGCAGTTGTTAAAGATTTCTTATTAATTTTCATTAACTGCATCATTCATATTATGTCAACAAATTTTTGTTAGCATTTGAAAACTCTTTACTAAATCGTATAATATTATACATACATTCTCGGTTTTAAGTTCTAGGTGCTACCCTGCAAACCAGAGTTCCCGAAATCTTAACGAAATCTTTAGTATATCATTTATGTAACGATTTTTTACGAATCTTCAATGAAAATTATATGAAGTGTTTGACACGAACTCATAAAGAAATTTTTGTACGAAAAATAGAGAAAGTTCAGAAAAAAATCTGCAAGAAATTTTTCACATAGCAGCATTATTTTCATTGCTTTACCGATTTTTTCCGAAATTTCGTAAAAGAATCGAAGTGTGCACAATTTATTTCATTTATTCGGCAAAAAATAGGATGAGATCTTTACGAATTCTTTTAAATTTCTCTACAATTGAGAATACTCTGAAAAAATGGTTTGCAGGGTATATTCACTAAAATTTCTAAAAAAAAATATTTTTGAAGCAAATTGTTCTTTAAAAGAAAACTGAATATATTTGTACTGTATTCTAATTTTAAAAACTCAATTCATCTATGTAAATGTGTCAAACAAACATTTTTTGTATCAAAAGGATAAAATATTTGTATCGATACTTAGCTTCTGATACATCATTTCATACTGGGATCGATACTTTTATAGTATCGCAACATTCCTAAAATGCATTTCTTAAATTGGGTGTTAACTTTTTTCGATTTTTAAACAGTGGAATCGTGTTTTTCGTATCAAAATCTATAATGTAAGTATAATAAAACATACAAAAAATGTTTTTTTTTTTTTAACAAATCCGGTGGATTTTGCAAGTTTTTTTCGAAGAACACTATTTTTGACAAATTTGTTTCAGGTCAAGGCGTAATTGTGAGTTAATGGCAGTACTTTACAGTGAAAGGGAATAACATTAGCTTTCAACACCAACGAATCACGTTTTCTTCGTCGATATTAATCTTTTTTTACATGAATATTCTACAAAAGTATAGTAAAACATATTATAATTACAATAGCTTACACGAATAGTGAAAATTTTTAAGAGATAATTTTATAGGCAAATTTTTAGTCGTTCAAAACGAAAACAATACCCTTTTTTGTTTTTTGTACTTTTCCCAGTTATTTGTCAAAAATCGACGTCATGAATCGACGTAAACGACGAGTTACAAAGGTATTTATGGGCCCTTTACAAAAATATATAACTTGTGCAGATTGCGCTTCATTGCATCTACATTTCTAATCCGATTTTCATTATCTTTGACTCAAAATTTGCTGTAATGATATATCTTCTTTATCGAATTTTTAAACTAATGAAAAAAATAATCAAATAAAACTGCGTATTTGATTGAAAATCTCACTTTTTTCGACTTTGACGACAAAATGCAAATGGTCGCCTGTAGCACTAATAATTTTCATTGAAGTCGCCACAAGCTATATATTTTTGTAAGAGGCACATCAATACCCTTCGAGATGTAAGTCGCTTACGTTGACTGGGAGATTTTTTCATGAGATATTGAAGAAAAGCTACGAAAAGTACCAAGAAACACTTTTTTTTAAATTCATCCATTGTCCGATAATTTTAAAATAACGAATAAAATGCGGGACAAATGCAGGACACTTGGAAAAAAGCAGTACATTTTCAGGGTTTTCAGGATTGAAAAACTACGCAGGACCGACCTTTGAAAAACAGTACGGTCCTACAAAAAACAGAACGGATGGTCACCGTACTTATAGAGCGTGGTTTTCGTACGTCGAGAGAGGACTTTACTCCTGAATTGCCTACTCAGTCCAAAGTAGCACTTGTTGGCAAGAGTGATTCTACGTTGGATTTCAATGCTGACATTATTATCGGTGTTAACGCTGGTTCCCAAGTAAACGAAATTCTCTACTTTCTCAAAATTGTAACTGTCAACAGTGACGTGGGTGCCAAGGCGCGAATGTGCTGACTGTTTGTTTGATGACAGGAGATACTTCGTCTTGTCCTCGTTTACCACCAGACCCATGCGCTTTGCTTCCCTATCCAACTTGGAAAAGGCAGAACAGACTTCGCGGTTTTTGTTACCGATGATGTCGATGTCATCGGCATAAGCCAGCAATTGCACGCTCTTGTAGTAAATTGTTCCTGAGCGGTTCAGTTCTGCAGCTCTTATTATCTTCTCCAACATCAGATTAAAGAAGTCACATGAAAGGGAGTCGCCCTGTCTGAAACCCCGTTTTGTGGCGAACGGCTCGGAGAGGTCTTTTCCAATTCTGACGGAGCTGGTGGTATTGCTCAACGTCATTTTACACAGCCGTATGAGTTTTGAGGGGATGCCAAATTCAGACATAGCGGCGTATAGGCAACTCCTTTTAGTGCTGTCAAAAGCGGCTTTAAAGTCGACAAATAGGTGGTGAGTGTCGATCCTTTTCTCGCGGGTCTTTTCCAAGATTTGGCGTATTGTGAATACCTGGTCTATGGTGGATTTGCCAGGTCTAAAGCCACACTGATAAGGCCCAATCAGTTCATTGACGGTGGGCTTCAGTCTTTCACACAATACGCTCGATAAGACCTTGTGACCTATGCTTAGAAGGCTGATCCCGCGGTAGTTGGCGCCAATGGCGGGGTCACCTTTCTTGTGGATTGGGCAGAGCACACTTAAATTCCAGTCGTCGGGCATGCGTTCAAGAGTTGATGCATGCACCTTATCAACTCCTCGCCGCCGTACTTGAATAGCTCAGCTGGCAGGCTGTCAGCTGCAGCGGCTTTGTTGTTTTTCAGCCGCGTTATTGCTATACGTAGCTCGTCATAGTCAGGCGGTGGAACGTCGACTCCGTCATCATCGACTGCGGGCTCGGGTTCTTCTTCTCCACAACTTTCCGTGCTGCTACCATTTAGTAGGGCGGAAAAGTGTTCCCTCCATAGTTTAAGTACGCTCTGGACATCAGTTACTAGGTCGCCATTATTGTTCTTACAGGAGTGCGCCCCGGTCTTTAAACCTTCCGTAAGTCGCCTAACTCTCTGGTGAAATTTTTGGGCATTCCTCCTGTCGGCCAGCATTTCAAGCTCTTCGCACTCACGTATTTCTGCCTCTCTCTTCTTGTTGCGGCAAATACGTCTCGCTTCCCTCTTCAGATCCCTATAGCGGTCCCACATAGCGCGCGTTGCGCCCGATCGCAGCGTGGCCCTGTAGGCGGCATCTTTTTTCTCTGCAGCTTCCTGACACTCCTCATCGTACCAGTTGTTCTTTCGGGCTCGCTGAAATCCGACTACTTCTTCGGCGGCATTGTAGTACAAGTCTTTACATTTCAATAAAACTTTGATAGAAAAATTGGGTGATGGTTGATTGCTTAAACATTGTACAATTTAAAATGTTCATTTGCAAAATTTTTCAAATGCAAGCAATATTCAACGCCTCATCATACGCTATACAATTCACATAAAACGTATTTTACAAATTGAACGGAAAACCCGCCTCCTATTTGACACGTACGACATGAATGCGCGTTTATGAGAAATTTTTTGATCAAAATGGTTTGAAATATAGGGTCCGCGGAAGGTTATTAGAGTGTCCGATTATTAAGACATTTGTATGGAAAAATTCATAAAAAGTCTGTATGCACGAATTTTTCCGCCTATTAAAGCTTTCCGGTTATAAGGACTGCCCGTAACGAGGAATTATACTGTATTTCACAGCCACGAACCTTTCTGAATACACAAAATTTGTTTTCCCTTTGTAATTGAATCAGTTAATTACCAAATAAGTCAACATATTTTCGATATGACAATTTTGATGCAGTTTGGTTTGTTTAAAGCTCTGTAACACTGCATCAATTAGAAAACCGGTTGTCAACTGACGTAACCTTTTTTACCATACCATATCATATAATGGAAATTGTTTACCGAAGGTTTTCCTTGTCTATTTCTGCCGCACTGAGGGGAAAAGTAAACACAAAATATTTGTCTTCCAGAATAAAGCAGTGATGAATGTTTAATTTCTTTTTTTGTATTTAATTTGAATTCATCCTTTATAATATGTTTATACGCGACGCTTTTCAATTATTTTCAATTCAATTTACCAATACACATATGTGGCATATAAATTGTTTGCATTGTTTTAAAATTCACAAAAATTCATCTCGAGTAGTATGTATGAGTGTATGTATGTATGTTTGCTTGAATTTAGAAAGAAATCACAAATTCTGTGGAGCACAAATTTTTGCAAGAATCGTATGTCATTTCATTAGTTTCTAAATTTGTATGCTTAGCTAAACTGTGTGTTACAACATTTTGCTGTGAGACTTTACGAAACAGTATTTTTCTTATTTTTACAACAAACATTTCATCTAAATTTCCTTCTTTTTTATAATTATAATAAACTTGGCTTTCGCGCAATAATTTAAATAGAAATCCTTCATTCAGTTTTATCTTACAATCATATGTAGTTCACCTTCACAAAATAAATATTTGTCATTCATTTTGTTTAGTTTTTTCTAGTTTTTCCTTTTTCTGTAATTAAATTTGTTATCTTTTTAATGCATTATTTAATGGTTAAAATATGAATCTCTAAGAAAGATTTACTACTTCTACACTACTACGTTTGTTGGTATTACAGCTGCTATTGTTGGAATCACTGCTGAAGCTTACGTTGTCACAGTTTGACAATTCTATTGATGCAGGAGACGATGCTGGAGCCGAATTGCTGCAACATAGTCCCTCCTTGTACTTACTATCACCAGCTCCACCAGCACCAGCACCAGCATATGCCTCCAAATCAGGCAAACTGCCTTTGCTTTGTAACGATGTCATTGTGGAGCAAGACGCATATTTAGTATCCTTTTTCCTCGCACCTCCACACACCTCAGACTTTGACCCATTATACAGTGTTGATTTGCCACTCTCATCCAAGATAATATTCAGCTTCTCTTTACATAGCTTTCGGCTGCCTTTGCCGCCACTACAAGATGTGCTTGCTCGTTGGAAGAGTTCCGATTCAAGTGTGTGAGGCGGCTCACCGACTGGATTTAAGCGCGTACTATTCGAATTACCATCCCCTCTTTGGTGTTCAGTAAGCAATTCATGCAGCGTAGAGCCATCTTGTTGTTTGGACACCTTATAAATGGCCGGGCAAGACTTGGAGCTTTTCACGTCGTTTATATCCTTATAGTCGCGCAATTCATTCAACTCAATATTGCTATCTGCAGCAGCAGTATCTGTACGATGATCACCACCGTCGTTGTGTGTGGCTCGTGAGTGTCGGTCACACTTGTGGTCACGTCTGTGGCGATGCTTTTTATTTTCGGCACTTTTCATTGGCACCACCTGATCCGCCAATGTGGCGGCATAACAGTTATCTTCAATGCTACCCGCACCCGCCGGGTGCTTATCGGTTATTTTCAATTGACTTAAAGTGATCTCAGCCTTGGGTAGTGATGTTAAGCCGTCGCCGTCGCTACCGCCATAACCGGCAAACATCATGGGTGTATTAAAAAGGAATTCCGTGCCTATTTTCGATTCATTTAACTCGAATTTCTTGTGATCCAAATTTTCATCGATATAATTGATGTGTATAGAGGAGGTTTGTAATTGGAGATGTGAGCGTCTTAACTCATCTTCAGGTGGTGTGTAGTATACTGATGCTTTGCTAGTGGAGTTCAGAGCCATGACAGCTAATCTACTTTTTAAACTCTTCACTTTAGCCGCCCTAGGATTATATTGATCGCCCCACTGACTTTTGAAGTAGACTTCAATATCTGAAATAAAAACCAAAAACCATATTGGTAAACACCGTTTTTGCTTTGACCTATTTTAAAAAATACATATTTGTTCATAAAATAAGATATTATATATATATTATAATGTCATAGTCTTCAAATTTTTTCTATGTAAAATAACGGGTAAATGGGTTTGGGAACAGATCGAATGTAAGTCTATAAGAAGGTACAACACGTTACTTTGAAAATGTGCCGCGACAATTTTGACCATATCTGAAAGGTTTGCAACAGAAATTCATTCGTGTCCGCGGCAGGCAAAACAGAAGAAAGGCGTCAAAGGTGAATTTTGGTGGTTATTTTGCACAAGTGGTTATAAAAATGTATTGTAATTTAGAAAATACCAAAATGAAGGTGTAAAACCAACTAACTTTTGGATTCTTGAAACCGGGACGCCCAATAAGTGTGTTCTTTTGCTCTGTGTTTCTTTGATTGGTTCTCAGGCTGTTGAGAGCCACTTTGAGCGAGTAATATTTGTTTTTCCGATTATTTCTCCGGGCAAGTTTGTGAAAACTGTCAAACTGCCAGAAGAAGAGGAAAAATATAAACATTCAAATTTTATCTAAGATATGTGTGCATATTTAGCTGTTCTTCTTTGATTTATAAGTGAAAAAATATCAAGTGAACCATTAGTTTACCGTTACTGTCTTTGCTCATTGTGCCCTCAGCTCATCACAGTATCTCACCTAGAATTGATCCCGGGGGTAGAGAATGTATGTGGTCCTCTCCTGGCCATACATTTCTAACTTACGCTCAATTGCCCAAAACTAGCCCGAAAATGTAAAAAACAAACCTAATGTTAGGAAAGAGGGTAGGTTAAATTACATACAACATTAGGGAATTCACAAAACGTGTTAACCGTAGTAAGATCTTAAACTTTAAATTTATTTATGTAAAATAATGGTTAAAATGGCTAATTATATATTTTTGATCAGTTTAAAAACATTTCGGTGCAGTTAGGAATTCTCTAAAACCATTTTAATCATTATTTTACATTAAAAAATGTTAATCTTAAGATTTTACGACAGTTAACACGTCTTGTGAATCCTTTAAATGTGTAAGAAACGACATAAATTTTAGTGCTGTATTTTTAGAAATTATCTATTAAGAAAAACAAAACAATGTAAAACTAGGCCATAAATAACAAAAAAGAAAACAAGTAAGAGAGTCCAAATTCGGGCGGAGCCGAGCATTAAATACCCGGCGCAAGTATTAAATATATGTTTTTCACCTTACCGAAAGCTACCGCTACATGGTAAGCCGGGGTGTATCATTTTTGAGTAAATTAGCGTCCTTAAATTTCGAAATATTGAAGTTTCAAACATTTCTGAAATTTACCGTTATATGAAAAGCGGCCGTAGTTTTAGTCCGATTTCAGTAATTTTCAATGGTTTACTTTTATGTGGCAAGCACAAAGCACAATATCCATTTCCCATTTTCAAAAATTTTATCATAAACGTATTTACTGGTAAAGAATTGCCGTTATATGGGATGTGGGCGTTGTTATTGTCTGATTTTAAAAATTTTCGGCCAATTCAATTTTTACTTGAGTTATCGTGTGCACAGACAGACGGACAGACGGACGGACAGACAGTCAACACTTAATCGATTTCTCTTTTCATTCTGATCATTTATGTACAAATATCTATCGGGCATGTTCTAAAATTCGAAAATTTGAAATCTACTCGATTTCGATAATTTTTTCGATGGTTTTTAACCCAAAAATTTAAAAGTCTCGCATTAAAAGATTTATTTCATATCTCTGCTGCTTCTTTTACTGTTTTCAATTAAAATATTCACTCTTTTCATCAGTTATAATTAAAAGATGTTTGGCAATTCAAGTCGATTTCAAAGTTTCGAATTTCAGAACATGTCTGTATATCTATGTCTTTATCTATATGTGAACAAAGTTATAATACCCTTGTGCACAAGTGCGCTCGGGTATAAAAAAAAACAAATAACTTAAGGACGAGCACACCTAAAGTTAAGCATTCTAAAAATAGAATATGTATTAACTAAAAACCATCAACAACAACAACCACTTGATCAAGTCAAGATAGCAGCAGAATATCTGCCCTTGATTGTTGTTGGGTTTACATTTGAAAAAGTGGAAAAAGCAACAATAGAGGTTTCTGGTTCATATCCCAGTCACGGCGGTTGAAGAAGTCTGATGAGGAGATGTGGAGATCTCCGAAATAGCAGCTATAACTACTACCAACATGTGAATTACTGTCGTTTTTCCACAAAAATTTTCATTAATAACGGCCTCAAGCTCAATTAAATTGTTGAATATAATTGTTATAAGGCCATATATAAAAATGTAAAACTTCATATATAAAAATTTTCATTAACCGAACCTTCAATGATATTTCGCAATTACTTAAAACGTTTACTAAAATTTATATAAATCACACCAAATTATAAATTTCTATATATTTATGTATGTACAGTTCCGCTCTTAATTATTGGCACAATATATATTTTTTGCTACAATTTTCCGCGAATTTTTTATAAAAATATTGTTCATACTATAACGAAATACAAAAACAAATCTCTTAACTTCCTGCAAAACTAAGGAAAATTCAATAAATTTGCATACAAGTTGGCATTTTAGTATAAGTAAGTAGTACCAGTTTAAAGTTAATAAAAAAACGTGCTGATCTTTGGGAATTTCATTGCATGTAGTTTCTTCCAAACAAAAAAAATATCGAACATACTTTGTACTTCACTAATTTTAACCGGGACATAGTTGCAAATTTTGCTTTTACTATACGGCGTATAGTGTCGATTAGTAAATTGAATATTTATAATGTAAATATTTAAAGATTTCTAAATTTTTTACAACGAGATGTCAATATTTTTTGTCTTGCCAAAAACCGGGACATTTTGCGTCCCGGCAAGTATTGTGCCGGGACCGGGACATAGCTCTTTAATCCCGGACAGTCCCGCCGAAAACGTGACGGTTGGCAACCGTGTGTAAGAAATAATATTCAGTGAATTTGTAAAACACTGAGGTTCTTGGAGATGAAAATGTTCATATCAATAATAGCCGTGTTTTATTTGTCCAGAAATTTAAGCTATTAGCTTATTTTGTATGGTGGACTTACCCAACATAATTATATTGGCTTATGAAAAGCTATCTTGGCTTGTATATTGAACAAAAGGCATTGCCATTCAGCATCAGAAATTTTCTCGTTCAGCCAATCAGAAAGAGGCAAAAACTTACTTTGACACTATTTGCAGTCAAACCACTGTCAAAATTGGGCTAACATAGGAAATAAGCTGATTTCGTTTTATTTGACCAAGATTTAGCTACTTGCTTGTGATGGTTGAATAAAACCTGCCTAATAATAAATGTTTATAAGGTTTGCGCACGATGAAATTAGCGCACACATTTTTATTTAAAATTGATTTTCTTTTTTTTTTCAAATCAAGATACCTCTGATAAATGTGCAAAAATTATCATGCAAAATTTTAAGGCCTCTTAGCCCAGCAAAATTAGGTAAATTTGGTAGGAAAATTGAAAAAAATTTGTAAAAGCGATTTTTTGATTTAGTTGACTTCTATTTGACACGTAGATCATGGATCCACAGTCGTGTCCCTAAATTTCATTTGGCAATATTCCGCCATCTTGGATTTAAATTTTTTGGTTTTTTTGCGATTTGCAAGCTTATTTTGCATTTTTCCAAAAAAATGGTTAAATACAAGTATGTAGAGCATTTAATTGTCCATATTTGTTATATGGAAGGATTTTTAAAAATATAATTTTTTTTATTGTAAAAAATTAGCAAAAACTGCTAAAAAATTTGACATTATCACGGTTTTCGAAATTTTTTGACAATTTCTGTTGAAAATACATAGAATATTGAAATCCCAACGTTGCACAGTGTATCATTTCCATATTCTAGAAAAGATTAATTCCATTATTTTGTGTCGCCAAATTTGAAAACAACGTCAAGAATGTTTTTAGAAATGCCTGATAAATACGAAACAATAACAACTAAACAATTTTAATCAAAGTGTATGGCGGGACGGGGTTTGATTTGGAAAATTACCGAGCACAATAATATTTAAACTTTTATATTTGAAACTGAATCTCAATGTTTATTTTGTCGGTGTTATGTGATTTATGCAACAATTACTAAAATACCATTTTGGTCTTATTTGCTTGGGTATGTTCTTTTTAATGAATATACATTTTTGGGATTTTAGTAAACTAGGACTGAGTATTCCATGTTAAAGTAAAACGATGTTAACTTAAATTTATTTTTAGCAATTTATTAATTTCATTAGACCCGCAAACTCGTTATCCGTCACTATTCGATAAAGTTTGTATCTCAGTTTGTTTGCCACTCCTCTTAGACTTTAAACAACATAATTTTAGCTGCTGGAAAGTGCAGGTTTTGATGAAATTTTCTTTTTTCTGGCCTACTGGGAATTTCATCTTCTTCGAGTAATTCATTTGCATTTTATCTCGACCGAGACAAATTCTTATATTACCGTTTTGAATAGAGAAAGCCTGATTCATTACCTTTCCAGTGGTATCCCATTTTTGTAAATAGAGTAAGAAATATTGAACTTATAACGGAATTTTGTTGACCCAACTTGACTTTTTTATCGATATTTTCCACGCCCATAATTAAAAACAAGTAAGAGCAGCGCTGTCTTCGGCTATGCCGAAGGCTTCATATCTTTCATGAACATCTGCAAATTTTACTTTGACAGATTACTGCTTTTGAATACATCTGCATACATCGATAGAGGAGTTACATACTTATATAAAAAATCGCATCTAAAGAATCAGATGTATGGAAGATATACCTTATATGGCACCAATCTAAGTGATTTTCACTGCTATGTGATAGGTATGTAAACCGGTAACACAATTTATTGGGTTTAGTTTCCTACATAAAGGAGATATATGGCAAAAACTGGTATCTGAACAATCAGTGCTATAGGAGATAAAGCTTATACAGCATAGA